ATAATCTGTGTTATCTTTTAAATCACAAGATATCACGGTTCCAACAAACCTCTTTCCCCGCTTCTACACAACCCATCAATTATCTCTGTCTAAAAGCACTTTGGATAAAAGACAAACACACCACAACCTTGCAAAGACTGACCATGTTGCTTGTTTAAGTTTACAAAACTGCAAGGTATTCTAGGTGATAAAGATTCATCTATCTCTTTTTCCACTCTTTCTGGCAATTGAGAGAGGGAGGCTTCATTTAGGAGGGGACTCTGCAGTCCATCTGCCCTGCTTCTCTTGGAAAAAGGTTCTCTCCATATTTCCCTCATCAGGCAGAAAGAAAGTTTACTTTCTGTCAGTGCTCCAAGTGTCCCTGTCTATGAATTCACATAATGGAATATCTCTAGACTCTCTCCAGACCCTCTTTCTTGTGAAGAGGGAAGTCCAGAGACAACTCAAGTGGTTTGCTCAGACAGTCATCTCCAAGATCACATAAGGCATGGCAGTGTTCCAAGACGGAATGTGCTACCACATGAATGAAATATTATGCTAACTGTAAGTTGGTCTGGTATTCTCATTCGAAGAGTTTTTTGAGGAACACGTTCCTCTAACATGGAACATTTTCCTTTGGGTTACTTTTAGAAAGTCCTATGAAGTTGGGTATCTTCTGGCTAGTATCCCTTGCTTTGGTGAAAGAAACAAGGCATGGTAAGAATAAACTCAGCAGCAGCATTAATTATAACACAGAAGCCTTGGGCTTGACTTCAAACCTGAGGAATCAAAATTAAATGAAGTTCTCTCTCACTCCCTCCCGAAAGTAATTCATCCAAAAAATAAGTTAAATTATGCCCATAACTTTGTCTCAATTACATTATCTATTTACTTTTTCCAAGTAACTCATAAAATTCCAGTCAATATGAAAACTGCTACAGAATCACGCACACATTAAAAGGGAAGGAAAACAAACACAGGACCATTTAAATTGTATTATTACTGATGAGCATTACTTAAAGAGCTTGAGGATTACTACTATTTTCTAATGATTTGAAATGCCTAATAAAAAAAAAGTGGCTTAAAAATTACGTATGTACATCAAACTGTAAAGGCATTTGTTTCTTTGTGGGGAGAGGACGGATGTTCATCCACTTCTTACGTTCAATAGACATCACTCTCATCGCACGACGATCTTTGGTCCACCTAAGAAAAATGGAGTTCAGAAAAAACAAAGACACACTGGCAAAAGACATTATATAAAGGGAGAGGTACAAAGTTTGTACCTCTGAAGAACCAGAGAACTTTTTTTCTCAACCCATCTAAAAGAAATGCCTTATGATTCTATAATTTCACCTTCTGTTGATATTTACAAACATTCTCCATGAACCCTAAACAAAGAATTGATAAAATACAGGAAAAACGCTACTTTCGAATTCTTAGCTTCTAAATCCTAAAAATCTCTTCCCTTTTGTTTTGTAATTACTCCTAAATTATCTACTTCTTCCTGCTCTCTTCAAAACCTTAATCCTTTTTCTTATATGAATGATTTTATACATATGAAACAGAAAATTACAAAACTGGCATCGTTTCCACACACACAATACTTACGAATGCCTTGCTTTTGCACTACAATATTTTCTGTTTTTGTCTGGTTCAATGACTTGACCATTTCTCAGACACTGGGCACACACAAATTTTATCTTCATATTAAGAGATCCAGGCATTATTTGATTGCCAAGTACCTTAAACGATTAAAAGATCAGTTTTAATTTTAACAGAAAATCAGTTTTCTGACAAAATACTGAATCATCGTGCATTTTTTTTTACAACACTATACAATTTTCTGTTTTATCTGGTGAGACCATTATATATACGCTCTGATAACTAAATCTCCAATTCTCCCCCCAAATGCAAAAGAACAAATGATAAGAGCAGATTACAGATGCCAAATTTCAATTTATGAAAGTCAGCTTTGGAATTGATGACTGGGATTGTTTGATTTTTAGGGGGACATTGGAGGGAAAGTAGGAATAAACAAAATATGCCAGATGGGAAGCAAAACTACAAACATAATCTACCTCCCTTACTCTAAGAATCCCCAAAGCCCAAATAAATAAGCCAAAGCTAACTGAGAAAACAGTGTCCTACACTCTTGGCAAGTATTGCGGGATCCCTAATTTTTTTTTTTACGATGATCAACTAAAATGCTGTTTTTTCAGAATTACTCAACTGAATGAACATTAAGAGAATAACAGATTGTGAATGTTAACTGCATCTGCCAACAACCAGTATCTATCAGGCAATTTCAGAAAGGGCACCAAGTGCAGAAAGTACACAAGAGAAAATACCTGTGCTCCCGGTACATTTGCTTCCAAATTTTGCCAATATCGTTTAGATTCTTGAGCAATAGCATCATGTGAGATACCTGGGAAATGTACAGACCTTCTTTTAAATTCTATATATAACAACAACAGTCCACCAATCTGGTCAGAGTCAGCTAGGAGAACCCTCGACTCCCCAGTTATTCTCACGTAACCTAAGCCATCACCAAGGATGAGTATCACATTACTCTTTTTCAAAGAGTACCTCACAAAGGAATATCAATCTCCAAGACGCTCCTGGAGAAGTATGAACACAGTTCACTTTCCATTGCCACCAAAAAACCCTCTTGACTGTGAAGGCCCCTCTCCGCTCCAGCATCCAGACACTGATCTCCTCTTGGCAATGAACAAATGTGCAGGGGCATGAATGTCTACAAATACAGCTCTTTGTGCCTTCTGAGGAATATTTCTTTTCCACAAATCCACACTACATGTATGAACTTGTGTCAACAATTAATTACATGAGACCACACTCAAAATAGGTGCCTCTAAAATCAAAAGTGACTACACGGTTTAAAGCTCAGGACAAAAATCAACAGTGTTGCCACACACTGTTTCATCCAACCCTGCCTGCTCTTGAGGAGACGTCCTACTCAATCGCACACAGTCCTACCTGTTTCATTCTGCATTATCCAGACTTTCAATTCCACAAGACTGTGGGCATAGAAGCACTCATCTTCCCTCAAACAGCCATAGCGAACCTCATGTCGACATAAATCAAGCTGACACTGACCATGAAAAGAACGTATTTTGGAGTATTTTACTGTTGTCTCCCGCAAAATGTGGACAAGGCACCTAAGATGAAAACAGAGTGACATTTTAATATTGTTCTGCCATAGATTTTTTAAAATATATATATACACACATATTAATGTCAAGTTCTAGATTAAAAATACATTTTAAATCTTTCAGAAAAAAATAAACTGTTGTATGCAATTGTTGAATTAGTTGGAAGGGGGTATAATGATATTGTAAGCCATAAAATACCTAAACCCATGTCATGAGAAGCTATAAATCAGTAATGCTTTTCTGGTTTTTTTTTTTTTTTTTTTTTGAGACAGAGTCTCACTGTGTTGCCCAGGGTAGAGTGCCGTGGCATCATCCTAGCTCACAGCAACCTCAAACTCCTGGGCTCAAGCAATCCTACTGCCTCAGCCTCCCGAGTAGCTGGGACTACAGGCATGCGCCACCATGCCCGGCTAATTTTTTCTATATATTTTTACTTGTCTGATTAATTTATTTCTATTTTTAGTAGAGACGGGGTCTCGCTCTTGCTCAGGCTGGTCTCGAACTCCTGAGCTCAAACAATCCGCCCGCCTCGGCCTCCCAGAGTGCTAGGATTACAGGCGTGAGCCACTGCGCCCGGCCTGCTTTTCTGTTTTAAATAACCAATTTAATAATTCACTATTTAATTCCCAGCAAAATCCATTAAAGTACATTTTTAAATAGTCATTGTTCTTCAAAACAACAACAAAAAGGGACGAGGGGGAGTGCCTGGGCAGATACTACTATCGGTTTTATTTGGATCTAAGAAAAGAATCTATTTTGTCACTACAGAAATTAGAAACTACCAACATACTTATTGTCTTCAAACTCATGCTTTGTAACCGGGTGAGAACAAGCAGTAGAATTATCTTTATTTCTTTTACTTATCATTCTAGGCTTATGATCAAAACATTTCTGGAATAGAGAGAGAAGGATTATCAAAAAAACATAACACAAAATTTAAAATGTTGTACCCAGAATATTGCCTTAGTTTCAATATCATTATAAACTTACACATTACATACTTATACCAACTAATATTCAATACGAAGTCTTGGGGGGAGTTTTGTTTTGTTTTGAGACAGGGTCTTACTCCTGTCACCCAGGCTGGAGAGCAGTGGTGCAATCACAGCTCACTGCAACCTCCAACTCCCAGGCTCAAGTGTTCTTCCTGACTCAGCCTCCTGAGTACAGGAGTGTGCCACCATGCCTGTCTAATTTTTTTATTTTTGGGGGGGGGGTCTCACTATGTTGCCCAGGCTGGTCTTGAACTCCTGGCCTCAGGTGATCCTTCCACCTCGGCCTCCCAAAGTGCTGGGATTATGGGCGTGAGCCACTGCACCCAGCCTCAGTAAGAAGTCTTAATATTACTCTTTTTGATAACAGTGGTAGATACCATCCACTGAGTGAATGCTTTATCACAAGGAGGACCTGCACTAATACTCTATGTTCCTGGGTTTGCAAGCCAGAAACTATCACCAATTTTACAGTGGAATATAAGTCTCAGAGAAAGCACCTCACAAAGAAATATAAATTCTCCAAGATGCTCCTGGAGAAGTTTGAACACAGTAAGGTTGATCTTTCCATTGCCACCAAAAAAAGCCTCACGACTGAAGGCCCCTTTCCGCTCCAGCGTCCAGACATCGATCTCCTCTTGGCAGTAAGCGAATGTGCAGTGGCCTGAATATCTACATTCCTCCTCAGCAGCAACATCTAAAAAGACAGGGAATGAAAAGACATTTACAACATGGCAATTGCTTTTTTAAAGCTAATGAATATTAATCACACTGAAGACATCATTTGAATTTTTATGTAACAGCTCATGAACAGCTTTAAACAATGTTACACAGATTACTATCCAGAGATGGTATCAACTCTTTACAAAAAAACAGCACCAGAAGCCTAAATTGTTTTTATTACAGGCTGGGAAAAAAGCCTTGATAATCTCATGTACTCCACCTAAGTTTAAAAAATCATTTTGGGACATTTAAAGCTCATTCAGATGAAGTGGTTTGACAAACGTGACAATATCAAGTTCTCTCAAAAGCATTATAAATGTGGCAACATTTTCAAAGCCTCAGTTTGGTGTTCTGATTCTGTTTAGAGAGAACTTAAAGTTTGAGAGAGTTTTCTAAAACTGAAGCAGCTTTTTAAAACCTGATCAAAGTTGTTTCCATGAACAACTATAAAATATATACAAGAAGTTAAAAACAGTAAAGATAATATAAAAAACATTAATATCTCAATCCAAGGAACTTGCTATTAGCTCCGTCTAAACATTTTTTGTAACAGTCAATACTGGAGCTGTTATAATAAATGTAGCAAATACAGTCACGCGCCACATAATGACATTTCGGTCAACTATGGATCACATATACAACACTGGCCCCATAAGATTGTAATACCACTTACTATAACTTTTCCATGTTTAGATATGCTAGGACACACAAATACTGACCATTGCGTTCCAGTTGCCCCCTGTATTCAGTACAGTAACATGCTGTACAGGTTTGTAGCCTAGGTGTGTAGCACACTAGGCCATCTAGGTTTGTGTAAGTACTCTATGATGTTTGCACAACAAAATCCCCTAATGACACATTTCTCAGAATGTTATCCCTGTTAAGTGATGCATGACTGTAGTTTATCACTTACATAATATATACCAATTAAGTAATTACAGTATATACCTTTACATATATAATATGGTCCTTCATAATTTGTTTTTGTTGGTCTTGGACGTATTTTTTTCCATGATTTATCTTCAACATTCTTTATCCTACCAATTAAAATATCTTTCTTACACTTATGATCTATATTAGCATGGTAAGTGAAGTCCATTAACTTAGGGCCTGAAAAAGATGTAAAGAGGATGCTCAAATGCACAAAAAATATCCTTTCATTTACAGGTACACTTACAAGCAGATGTGAGCAGACGAACATTGATTATTAAATTCCTACAAAAATCCCATTTTCCCAACCTCAAAAGGTAAACAGGCTACTGAATTAGATTTTTGCCTTTTCTGCTGTTTGTCAGCACAAAGTTCTATAAGTCAACACCACTCCTGCCAGACACACCCTTATTTAACTACTAGGGAAATAACTTGGATAGAAATTGTGATGGCGTATAAAAGGAAGGAACACTGTTAAACATAAAACTAAGAAAGAAAATGAAGTTGAGTCAAGATCAGATTATGTTTATATCACTTGATTTAGGAGTAAGGATATGAAAAAAACAATAGAAAGTACTTTAATTTTCATATACATTATATCATATGCTGGTCTTATAATGCTTTTTTCTAGTTCTTGCTCTATCTGAAAATTATCAAATTCTTAAGCATTCTAAGTATATATTCTAAGTATATACTTAGAACATAAGGAGTTTCATAAAAATTTCAATAAGCTGCCAAAAGCAGGTAAATATCCTATTCCACATGATTCTAAAAATAAAATTGTATCAAACAAGAGCAGAGACTTAGCCTTTCAGATTCCAAAGGCCCAAATCAAGAACTGCCACTTGTTCAGGAAGAATTCTAACAGATTGAAGAGGCCCAGTAGCTTGTGGTGTCCACATGTATTTACAAATTCCTAAGAACTTTCAGGTTATGAACTAGCTTAATACTCTTTGCCTGTGTGTTTGGTCCTGACCTGATTTTACAAAACAGATCTGGCAAGCTTGTCTCAATTCATGAGTTCCTTCGAGAGGATGTCTTGGAGTCACTGATGAAGACGGTTTGGTAACTGCACTTCCAAAAAAGTTTCCAAAGTCATTTCTAGGCTGACTTGAAATTCCCAGGAAACTCTCAGAAGCAAACAAACTACCTGGTCCATTCATCTGCAAGAAGAACAAGAAATTTAAAAAAAAACAGCCAACAAATATTACATTATCACTAAAGAAGGAAACTGAATTCATCTGAAAAATAAAATAATCTTCATAGAATGGGGCTGGTACTATTCCGTCCTTAATGCTCTTCTATATTAAAAACTGCCTCTTTCTACATTTTCCTTTCTTTGGGTCTCTAGGCCCCCCTCCACTTTTTTTGATCCTCCATGAGCTGTGATAAGTAATAAGTTCTGCTTCAACAGTACACACATTTTACATGCCTTGATCTTATATTTCCTTGATTTGTTTATGCTATGCTAAATAAGCCTCTTACACTTCTGCAATGGTGATTAATTTGCTATGACAGATCCAGTCTTAAACACAGAGCATTTATTACTGGATGTTCTAGAAAAGTGTTACTTTAACACAATTTCCCACAGCACATACAAAATTTAAGGGAGACTGTCACGTTCATTCAAATAACTCAGTTACTTAATAAGTAAAAGATCTATTTTCAATTTAAGCGATGTATTCACAAAAGAGGAAGTGGCACTTACAAGTAAAAGGGAAGAATTACTGTTGTTAAGCGCTGTTCCCTCTCTAGAAGTTGAGGTGGACAGATCTAAAATAATAAAAAAACTTCAACAGACCTTTTCATTCTAATCATGTAATAAGAACATTAGGGCTTAGCAGCATCCTGGCTCCAGCTTCCCCACACTATTCTCCCGTCCCAGTCCCTAGAAGCCTTCTTGCTCATTACTGACACTCGAAGAGGGCTCCAGAGTTTTTCCTTTCCTTCAAACAGGGGCATAAATAACCCTTCATCAAACAAATTTAAATAAAAAGCTATTTTCAGAGAAACAGGCTAGGGCAGGGCCCA